AACAATTTGCATAAGGCATTACTTTTCAAATTACACTAATTTAAATAGCACGAGATAATCCTCGTAATATTTTTGTAATGTAGTGAAATTCGAAAAGTTATGAAATGAGAGATTTAATGTTGAAAGAATATATCTCTCAATTAATTTGCAATTAATGCTCTTATCGCGTGGATTTCGTTTTTGTGATTAAGATATTTCTATCCTAGTCACGTTACGAGATTCTCAAGGATTTTGCATATCTTGAGCTCCGATCATCGATAGAACTGCGCGAATTGAAATTATGTTACTTAACGCGACGTATCTCCATACACAAATTGCATAAAATCTCGACTTCAATTTTAATGAATTTTTGTCTAACTTGAAATCGATTTTTTCATAATGTATTAATATGACTACTAACTTTATTAACTTTGCAGTTATATTAGGCGATTGAATATAAAGATTCTTTGGCGAGCTTTCGATGTCAAGAACGTCATGGCAAATAATAATTTCGGTGAAAATGTATTATTAAGGAAATGCTCTGAATTCATTTCTCTATCATTATAAACTCAACGCAAGAATATACGCCATATATGTGGTTGCGATATTTATATCATATTAATGAATGTCAACGCTGCGACATAATCCGTTTTTGAGACGGACGATCGTCGCGATCGTCACCTGGGTCTGTTTTCTTCGGGTCTCCGATCAGACAGTATTTGCCCAGACAGCATTTGAATGTAGGATCGCCCTCCATGGGGAACATGCTGAAGATCGCGACATCTTCGTCCTTCTCTTTCGCCCTTCTGATTCTCTCCTCACCCACCGTCTTCGTCAGCAGGTGCAGCTTGCTCGACAGTCGCTCACTCAACGCGTCGGTGGCCATATCTTCTCTCAAAAACGTTTATACAAACAAACACGCGTGCATTTGCCGGCTACCGCGAAGTTTACGCGAAACGCGAACTCGTAGAAACAAAGCTCTCGCGCGCCTCTTTACACACGGCGCGGCGCTCTGCAATGAACGCGATTGGATCTGACCTGTGACTATAATTAACGACGTCTAAGATAGAATTACGCGAGACAGTCGCGAATTAGTTATGATTATTTTTTTTAATTCAATTGTTTAATTTAGGCGTTCGTTTACCAGTTTATCCAAACTGTCATTTCAATTCCGAACTATAAGCCTTAATTCCTTTTTAATTCGAGTTAATTAAAGTGCGAAATAAATCGCGAGATAATGGAAGGAGAGAGAAAAGCCCGTAATCCGAATGTGTGCCGAATAATCGAACGTGGAGAATCGAGCCGTGCGATTGGGCCGAGGTCTTACGAGCCACTGAAGGCAGACCGCTCGTCGGTTCTCGCTGGAGTCACCGTTGCGGGCAGGCGCAACGTGTGTTACCGTGTGATAACTTGGCCGTTATATAGCCAACGAGAGAGGCATTCTACGCTGGTTGGTGCCCGCGGATTATATCTGGACACGCGCCTTCAGATTTCGAGACCGTGGATCCGTGTTGATCAAAGACGCACTGTGGGGGATTCTTAGTTCTAGACAACCCACCTTTTCAACTGGGAAAAATTTACATAAGGCACTTCTCGAGTTATACTGACTTAAATAGCACACGAGATAATTCACGTAATATTTTTATAATAAAGTGAAACCCGTCACAAAGAAGAATTTAAGATCTCTCAATAAGTCACGCGCATGCTTCCTTTTCGATTAGGATATTTCTATCGCAGTCACGTTACAAGTTTCTCAAGGATTCTGCATATTGCAAGCTTCGATTATAAATGGACTTGCGAATTGGAATTATATATCCATCTAATGCGACCTGTTTCCATATATACAGAATTGCGCAGAATCCCGACCTCGATTTTAACGATAAGTTTCTGTCTAATTTGAGAGATCAGTTTTTTTTACAACATATTAATACAATTCAATATTAATATCTTTGAAGTTATAACTAGGTATAAGCGATTGAATATACATGTAGTTTAGTGAATTAAGCTTCCACAATGTCAAAAATAGTGTAGCAAATAATAAAATTTATTATTAAGGGAATATGGATTCGTTTTCTCTAACATTAATTATACGTGCTATTCTATATGCAATTGCAACTTTCCTGAAGTTTTCTAATTTGGAGCAGCAAATGACAAATTCGCGTGGAGAAAAGCTATTTGAAATCTTTTATATTTCTTGGCAACTTCTACATTTTTCTTCGGAATAATATATCTCTTAACTGATTTGCAAATAGAAATAAGTACATGACATATTTAATATAAAAGATTGTCAGTTGCTATTTATGGACTGTTATTCACATTTCGTTACATTACAGTGCCTGAGGATTTCTCTGCGGACATTGAATGATTAATGATTCGTAATTTCTTTTAACCGGTTGTCTGGAAAATTTGTTCCATATGACTTTGCACGTAAGTGTCCATAAGTAACTCTTTTCAATCTATTCTTCAATCGGATATCGGAAGAGAATCATGGCGGAAACGGACATAAAGGAAACGGGAAACCTTCGATGTTCGAACAGATCGCATGTTCGCGGTATCACGAATCCGGATCGGAATTTATTAACGATTTCAAAGATTGATACGTAGTTCGCGAAATGCCGAGCTCCGTATACGGACACACGTTGGTACCGAATCATTCACGCCGACAATTTCTCGAATTGACCCCGACGTCAGCTAATCCTTTTTATCTGTCTAGAAGCTAAATTGGAATTCGTCCTAACTCCCACGCCGTCCGACCTTCCTCAATATGTCACGCAAATCTTCCCTAACGAACAACCATGTTGTGAGAACAATGCGAGCTGGATCCTGATGATAAGCGAATTTTATTAGAGCGCACTGCGTCACAAATTTTGAAAATAAGTAGAAATAATGTATCGTTGAAAATTATAGTTTGTGATATTTTCTCAAAATTTTATAGCATCAAAGGTCTTACTTTTTCCGAGGTCTACGATTATAATTTTCTATCCTACTTTAGAACGAAAAATTTCTCTTATCTTTTTAGTTTTTCACAATCTTCTACAATCAAATCCTCAGATATTTGAATGTCATCTATTCAAAGGGCGAGAATTTCTCTCATCTGTTATCTCATCGATTATCAAGATCCATAAGTCAACGCACTTTGAACGCTCAGATATTTAAATTATATCCTAGTTATCTTGGGTAAAACGACATTTGTGCTACTCTGCCGAGGTTCTCTATAACATTTTTTAAATGTCTCATAAATCTTTCGAATGGATCGTGCATGTGAACTGTCATCGTTCTCGTGGTATCTGCTGAAGGTTGCGCGTACTTTAAGCAAACTTTGAGTTGTGTGGATATGGCGATTATCATCTCGGATAACGACCGGTTCCTTCGTCGATTTATCTCGAAAAAGGTCGATCGTCACGGTTGACCACTAATCTTCACAGTTGACCCACTTACGTGCGCGTTTCGATTTCGCATTGGATGCGGAAAGATTGCCTTTCGATGTACTTCATTAATTTGCAGAACGGTTTGCTTTCCATTGTAGAAATTACAGAAAGTATAGAGCTTAATGTCATATATGTGTTGTGTACTATATTTTATTAATTCTATCGAAATTTTTATAAATCCAGTCCTGCGTTATGATTCTTATGACTTTCGCCTATACATTTTCGTAGACGAAGAAAAAGCTTTCTTCAAATAAGAAATAATCAAAGAGATAAAATTAATACTTAGATTTAAAATCTAAACAGACTTATTGTTAGCTCGTTGCAAGATAAACACTTTCATTGTCCACACTTATCGGCTTCATTATCTGTCATACATTCTCATAGCCGAGAGAGTTTTGTGCAAAAAGACTAACTTTGAGATCGATACATGAAAAAAGCCATTTCAAGAGGTAGAACAAGATATCTAAATACGAGAGAAAGATAAATGCAGCTTAATTAAGATGTTTATGCAAAACGATTTAATGCTATTATAAGAGAGCTGGTGAATTAGACGTAAAATGACGTACTCAGTCTCAAAACGGCTCACAATAATTGGCCCGCGTCTGGAGCCCGAGCCTTGACTCAATTACCTTAATAAGAAACGCCGAATGCAAGATCTATCGGTTTTCTCTTTCTTTCTCGGTCGTTCGCGCTCGTACCTGACACCATGAATCACTGTCGGGGAACGATTCGCCAACGATCGATCAAGAACAGGTGTTAACGCGGTCGTAGGTGGAAATTACTAGGAGATTTGTTTCTGACTCGACCTTTCATTGTACGCCATGACTGTTACCTCCGTATTTATCTCTCTCACTTCGTAAATTATACTCTTCTCACGTTTGTCTACGTTTCACGATATAATCGCCGATGTGGTCATCCAGACAGAGATAGCTGATTAATTGAAACATTTATCATTTATGTTTATCGATTGCGTTGACTGTATTGCATATTGGATTTGATTGTGTATTTGTATTTTTACGTTTAAATTTATTTTTACATTAATCACTTTTAGAAAACACATATTTAGTCTCATTAAAATCGAATGGTTGTCAGAAAGTTTACGCGATGCAGTAAATTACAAAGATTATATTATTGCATCATAAAATTCGTAACCTTTTCAGGAATATGTTTATTCTAACTTTCTATTTTTTCTATTTTCGTTTAAAATGCGAAAAAAAGAGAGGAACAAGAATAAAAATAAAATACTTTCATTCATTGCAAAATCTAGTGATCACAGACACAGATTTTTCTTTTTTCAATGATTATATTTTATCGTGTAACACCTAAATGCAAATCTCCCAAAGTTTTATAAAATTTCAATGGTTCTGCTTGCGTCATTATAAAAAATAAATGAAAACTGCATTTCTCACAGTTCGCGTACGTGCTATAAATAGCTATATAAACAATTGTAATATCTGCGTCAGACATAAATAAATCATGATCATATAAACGTATTTACATTTGAAAGACTAGATCGAGGTTCCGTGACATTGTAAGGATCTCTTTAACTGTCGCGTAAAATAAAAATTAACTACAGTATTAACGACTACGTACCAGCACGGAAGATCTCGCCGCATCCATCGCAACGACTGGCGAATTGGGAGTCGTAGCAGTTGCCGCAGTAGATCTTATCCACCTTGCTACCGAACTGTTTGTCCACCAAGGACACTCTGCACCTGTTGCAGAGGAAGCAGGCCTCATGCCAGTGCTTATCCTTGTACGACAGATCCTGAAAACGACATTGAACTACGTTAATCCTTTTCAATTTACATTTATTTTTTTACTTTTATCTTATGTAATTTTATTGCACTTCTGTAATTTGGATAAATCTATTATGTAACTGTTTCATCAGATATATTCAGTGTCGAAAAATTACAAGCTCGTTTATGCAGCGATGTGAAAGCGATTCATTTAAATATTTCTCTTGGTAAAGCTCTCGATCCTGAGAGAGCTAAAATCGCACGATTTTCATTTGGGAAATGCGATTAGCGTATCAAGTTTTGTATTACAGAAGAATTTGATCAATCTTCCGCAAACAACGTCACGTGTGTTTTATCTAAATAATTTCTGGAAACCGTTGCGGATGCTGAGATCATTGGGATTATTAATCATATGAATTACGTAATGCCGCGTGATGATGATGGTCGCGAGGAAAATAACGTCTTCACTTTCCCACTACAGGTCGTTGATTTTTGCGCGTAGGAGCGAACGAAATGTTATAATAAAGGCGATCGGGAAAGAGAGAGGTGCGGAAATCGCGCGGTGCTCGAAGCCCGATACACGGCACCTGCATCATCGCTTCTATTTCTAGAAATGAGTAAGTCAACGCCCATGCCTCTCCATCTATTGACACCGGGTCTCGTAATCATTCGACGGCCGCTAATTACGCCTCTAGGCTGTACAACAAACGAAGTAATTTATCGTTCGCGCACGCATCGAAATGCGTAACCTAGCTCAAGAACGTTCAAGGACGATTTTCTGGACGACTCTGACTTAGCATATCTTTTTCACATGCAACACGCAAATATATAGTTTCTATAAAGCTATTCGCCGTCTGTTGTCACATCTTATTATTTATGGCTTAAATAGTTTAGCACCAAGTTATGATCTTTGTTTTAAAAATTGATACATTATAGAAAATTAGGAAGAGATTTTAAATTGTCTACATCTAAATTAGAAGCTAATAAAAGTCCTGTTCTTTTTTTTTTAATAAATGGAGAAGCATGTTTGAACAAGTTATATATAAAACACTTTTTTCGTATGATAGAAATACCTTGGAGTCGATGCCGATGATTTTGTTGCATTCCTCGCAGCCATTGGCGAAAACGCTTTCGTAGCACTTAATGCAGTAAGGATGCTCGTCTCTGAGAACGTAGCGCTGTCCTGTCAGGGATTCGTCACACTGCCAGCAACAGAAGTGGCCGCTGTGCCAGTCCTTGTTCATCGCCTTTGTGTACTCGCCACTGAAAATCAACTGCAACGCGAATACCAAGCGTTTAGAATGCGTGACACACTCGTGAAGATTCATCTCGGAGCTTTTACATCAGTCAGTTGTCAGTGTATCAAAACTAATTCTAAATCAAATGCTTTTCCTTTAATAAAACATCTTAAAAGAGATATACATAGGACGCACACCCGTAAAATTTAAACGTAGGTTAATTAAATAATAAATGTTAGTAAAACAATGATAACAAGATTCATAAAAACATTTAAAAAAACTTGTGCATATTTGAAAAACAATGTAAAAATGTTTAGCTCCTTATAATTTCCATTCTGCGATTATATTACACATGAATAAGTAAAAGGAAAAATTAAGATTTAAGAAATATTTTATATGTTTGTCATTATAGTTTGCGTTGCTTTGTATATCTTTATGTAACCTAGTTTGTTTTAATAGAGAGAGTATTGTCCAATGTTTGCGTAGTGGTACTTTGACTCTGTTGCTACAAACTATGACGTAATGTACACCGTTGATGTTGGTATCAGTAGTTTCATGTTTACCATGTAACTATTGTTAAAAACACTTCGATTTAAATTGTTTCATAATGTTAAGTTTGTATACTAATTAATATAATAGTTTATCTTTATAATATTTATATATGGCTTAAACATCTCTTGTTGTTTCTATATAAAAGAAAGAACAAGTTATTGATTTGAATATTATTGAGATTTCTCGAACTCACATAAATTCCAGTTATGAGTGCATAAATGTGCCGTGAGTTAGTTTAAAATTTATGAATTCTAATCGTCAATTATGCCTTCAAATTAAATTTTTGCTACGCATTTTGGGCTATGCCTTATTCCTACGCTGATTTTTGAACGTTTAATGCTACTAAAAGAGAAAAATCATTTATGATAGTTGAAGTATTTCCTCAAAAGTTTGTGGAAGTGACATAAAATATCCAACTTGAGATAGCTAAAAAATTGCTCCTCTCAAAGTATCGTGGTTTACTTCTCGTCGAGAGTTCTTCGATCGCCTTTTTCGTTCATGTATTATACGCGATCATGGCGAACGGAATCGTTGATACGTGCTGGTAATATGTACCTTGGATGAGTGCTGTTGTATGTGCTGGCTGAGTATTTCTGTACAAAGTCATATCTATATCGTGACGCGCGTATGACTGTACAAATCTTGTTCTGAGCGTTTTCATTGCGCGAGTCGAACGAGTGTTCTTTTTTTACTTTCTTAATGACAATTACTTGCTTTATCAGCCTTTGAAAAACCGTTAATTAGCGAGAAAAAGGTTAGAGATGTTTCTCAATCATACTTATTGCAAAGTATATACTCCTAATTATATTTTTCCATCAAAAATAAGCTGCATAAGGAAAAGATACATAAATATCAAGATATAACATTATAAAATTTTACGAAATGTTCCAATTATTTTATAACTTTCTTACATGGTAGTTACTGATATCTGTCGCATCCATTTCATTCTTGAAATTTGCATGGAACTCTAAGTTTTAATAAACACAGTTTTAATTAACACAAAAAAGACATATATGATCTAAAACAGTGAATTCTAAAATTCCAGATAACGCACCTAATTTATGTATGCATATAATAAATAAATATAGCACCGTTTTAAAATTTCCTCCTCTCATTTTCGATCAACTTGACAATCTCAGAAATAAAATACACCGTTCCCATTTTTTTCTTAGCAGAATAGAGAATCGCCGTAACTATAGTGGCTTTTCAAAAGCTGATAAGACAATCATGCGATCTTATGAAAGAAGAGCCGTTTCTCTTTTTCTCATGTAATTTTGGAAAGGCTCGAGTTCCTGGAGCGTCACCCTAGTCCTTCGCCAAGATACGGCAAGGTACGTCCGTCGGATTGTGGCCCGCAGTCACGAAATGTCAGGGGATATCCGGAGAGGATCATTCACGACGAGCGATATCGTTTTAGATACGGCAAGTGCGGTCTTCGCTCGCGTGACGAGATGGAAAAGCGATGCCCGAAGTTAATCTTTCTTCACTCGCGAGTATTTTCGGCCGCTCGTAAATCGCCCGCAGTTCGAGCGAACGGAGTGAAAGGGTGTTTGAGATTAAACGCGTCGTCGTCTTCCAGGTTACGATCGAGTCGCGAACAAAATGAAACCGCAAGGATACGTCGCTTATAACCAAAGATATTAATTTTCGCGTGATACGATTATGCTAGTTTATGTAGATTATCTATAAAGAGCTCAACAGAATTGAATTTTAAAATTGGCGTGACTTTAATGCTATCGATGGAAATGCCACAAGACGTATTTTCTCGCGCTTATAGTATCGAACATAGAAGTCAGCTAAATTATACCATTTTTTTTCTCTCAAACTCTCAAACAACATCAAAATTCAAAAGACGTCCAAAAATAACATTTATTATTAGAGCATCTTTTGCATTTTATTTTAGACTGGTTGTACCAACAATCTTTGTTAAGTAATCTTTTTGTTAAGTTCACTATCCTTTAATGATCTATATTACAGTCCTATACTTAATAAAGAAAAAGATTCACTTATAACCGAGATCAGCATCAAACTTGGCGCAACCAGCTCTCGAATGTCCGCGTTGTCTGTGCTACCATCACCATTGCTATCATGATTCTGGTCGCGCGCGCGCGCGTAATTTTCGAGGGGGTGACGCTCGCGAAATCCCGCTCCCGGATGATGCGAATCGAGCACGACAGTGACCACGACGACGACGGGTCGTCGTTAAGACGAGCAGAAAGAAAGAAAAGGTGATAAAGAGGCTATGCGGGTCTGCCGGATTGTATCGTCAGCCAGCACATACTCTTCGATGGCGTGGTGGTTCTGCGTGCCGTCGACCTCGGTGATCGTGACCTCCGACGCGTTCTGGTCGCTGCTCTCCCGGCGCTTGGTCGTCTTCTTCACTTTGCGCACCTTGCGCTCGGTGGTCGTGTACACTACACTGTCTACGTCCGCCATCTCTGTGTTCTACCCTCTTCCGTCTTCTGTCGTCGCGATGCGCTCTCTCCTAGGCGACAGAATCAACTGCGGACTGTCGTATTCGGGCGGCTCTCTCGGGAGGGTGAGAAGGACACGGTGAAGAGAGGAAAAGACGAGAGGGGGAGAAAAAGAGAGAGAAAGAAAGAGAAAGAGAGGGAGTCCGCGAGTTTTTCGACGTCGTCGGTTTGGAAAAAGAAATCAGAGCGGCGAGACCACTGGATCCGGGGCTACTACTGCTCAGCGGCTTTCGAGCTTGCGAACTGACTGAAATCTAGGATCGGCCCGCTCCGGGCGTCATCATATCGGGACGCTATTTTCGGCGTCCCGACGACTCCAGAAACGCGCCGCGCGCGCCCCTCCGTCTCCCCTTCGCCACCCTCCCCCGTCATTCTTCCGCACCCTCCTCCATGCCAACCGACCGCTCTCCTTTCTCCGCCACCCTTCTGCTCCCTCGTCTCTCTTTTGGCGTAGCCTCTCCTTCTCCTGAATCTCGATGCAGTGTGCCGGGTGCAACTTTTCTACGTTACGCCCGTCTACTCTTTCTCTCTCTGTCTCTCTTTTTTCCCCTCTCTCGCTCTTTTTCCTCGAGTTTGTCCGAGCTTCTTCAAGCTTCTTCATCTTGCTCTTCCCCGTCGCTTCTTTTGTACGATTTTCCAGTTCAGAATGTTCAGATACCAGTGGCCGATCTTCTCGATGACATCCCCCCCGCCTCTTCCTCCCACTTTCTCTTCTTCTCCTCGACGTTCTTCTTTTACGAGTATTTATGGAGCGGCCTGTATCTGCGATTTGCGCGAAGAAAACGAAACGGGGTCGATGTAGTCTGACGCGAATTCCGGAGGAACGGTTTTGCTTCGCGCAGCTCCTGGGATCTCTTGATACCAGGAGGAGAACGGGGAACTTCCGACGCGGGTGTACGCTTCGTTAAATTCATCTCTCTTCAGCTTTATCCTCCGTGTTAAATCGTTGATGTCGCGTCGCCGTCGTCGTCGCCGTCGCCGTCGCCGCCACTGCTACCGCGTGCGACAGTCGCGAAAATACTCAAATTTATTTTTCATAGCGAAATGCATGTTTGAATAATCGGTTTTAATAATTTATGGCTGCGACTTACTACGACCTCAATCGAAACAACGTAATCAAGAACTGTGAATATGTCGATCCTATTAAGATTTTTGAAAAAAAGAAATTATTGTTCCTCAGCAACGCTTTTCATGTCCAAGATCAGAAAAATATTAATGCTTAACTATCGCTTCGTCAGTGTAAATAATCCATTAAAAGTGCAAAATTCCTCTTAAACTCGAACGTTCGATTTGATTTTGATCGAATAAAAATTATTTCTTACTTAGATATCGTTTAAAATTTTTCGTGATACTCAAGAAATAAAAGCTCTTATAGACTTATTTTGCCATAAATGATTATTTATTTAAAAATAATTATCTAACTCCCAATGTCTCTATCTTACATATTTCGCAAATAGATATCAGATATCACTTATAAAGGGTGAAATACGAGGGAATATAAATCTCGCGCTTGTTACGTTTCTCGTTCCGCTTCATTTATGAAACGTAAGGAATGATTAATTAGTCTATTCGCAAATTTACTAGAGATCGCTACAATAAAAATAGCGGGTTGCAGTTGGGAACAACAAATCTCCGATAGTTCGTAAAGGCGCTATATAAATATTCTTTAAGAGTGACGGCGAGCGACCATAAACCGAACCGTTTACGATCAACCGTGAACGCTCCACTCGCGACTTTTGACGGTTTTGCAATGAGACGCGCCGCGTCAGGCCGCGTCGTAACACTATGACATTTAGTATTTTAGTATTATATCTATCTTTTTTAATTTTATGTATCTAGCAGCGAAAATAGAGAGATCATCCCTTACTGGCGCGTACGTTCGCGTTTCCGTTTCACGAAAGAGTATCAGATTGCCGAGGCTACCCGACACGGTGATAAAAATGCGCGGTCGGCACCCCTCTGACTCAGAAATTCCCTGTCGATTTTTTCCCTTCGAGTCCGCCGAAAAAAAGCTTCGCCGCGCGCGGCGCCTTGATCCCTTGCCAAACAGGTGGTTCCGGGCCGCGCGCGTGGGAGTGCGGAAAAATAGAACTCGAACGAAAAGTAGAGATAGAGAGAGCAATCGGCGATGTAATTGGGTCGGAATGTTTCACACATCACCAATATCCCCCGGCCACCTACGCGCGAAGAAAACTCGCGCGCGGACGTTAATCCGCGTGACGCGGAATGCGAACTTGCCGGTTCTCGATTCGTGAGAATAATGTGATAATAATACACGTAAGAAACCAAAAAATATATATGCCTTTCAATATATTTATTAAAAATCATTGAAAAGAAAGAACATCGTTCTTTTCAATTTTTCTCGAAGAACGGTGTCGTTCTGACTTAACGTAATATGTATAAAGAAATTTCTGCAAAATTGTGTCGTAGCTCAATCTCGATGGTTCAATACCTATTTCCGTGTTGCACTTATTTCTGTACCTATTCTTGAAACGTGATCAGCGATATAGTATTTTATAGTTAACTATTTGTCTTATTGCTAGTCTTATCGGGAAGGCAATATCGTTAAAGATAATTGCAATAAACCGAATGCAATTTTATCTTGTATAATTCAAATAGTCATAAAATACGGGATCGATTAGTTCGTCAGTTTATCGTTATCGTAAACAACGTATCGAAATAGCTGCTCGTAAATAATCAAGATATCGAAATGTCGCGGCGGAGGATACCTAGAATATAATATTACGAGAGCCGGAAGAGGGTGGATTAAAAATATTCAGGCGACGCTTCGCGACGCGAAAAAAGAATGAGGCGTCTGATGAAGTTCGGCGTCGAGTCGGTGGAGTCTCGTCGTCGTGTAAATGTCGTGTTAGATGCGCGCTCGCGCGCGATGTATACGTATATTATTTGCAGACGGGTATGAGATTGATATTTTGGGAGACCCCACGCGAGAGGCACACGGCACCAATAAACGCCGCGGCACCGACGAGAGGGTTCCGCGCAAATATCAAGTGCGTTTTGTTATGGCGTTTGCGTACTGTTCTCATGTGAAAGTGTCCGATTGCGAAATTGCACCCCTCGCATGCTTGAGAAATCGCTGATAAAGCAAAGTAGCCGGCGTTAATTGGTCCCCAGCATGTGGGGTCAATTAACACAATTGCTCATGGAACCCGAATGTCGTTGTTTTATTGTGATACATCTCGAGCATGACTTCTAATTTTGATTGACGCACTCACATGTTGTTAATATTAGTTAGTTTCTCGACTGGCAGTCGATGTTGCCGAAATAGTTGGCTGTCTAAATGGCTCTTGCTATTAGACAATTTTAACTATCTATGTGTGTGTATGTATGTGTGTGACAGGAGCAAGATTGTATAAATATTTAACATATACAAAATAATATATCGTGATTATGTTATCTAAAATAATTTAGATATTTATTTTTACAATTATTTAGTAATAACATGGTAATAGTAATTTCAATTACATTTCAATTACATTCAGTAATCAACTATAGAATTCCGTACATTCGGACTGTTGTGATGCCAATACTTGGTTACTAATTTCACGAAAGTGGGCGAATATGTCTGATAGGGAAGTGCGTGGGATCCTTTAGTAACGAATGCTTGCTTTGCGTAGCCAAATATTCGAAATATTTTGAGAACAAGCATTGCGCAAGATCGGAAGCTTGACTTGCGCGAGATTCCACGCGACGCGACGTGTGTCTGAGCGTGAGGGAGGTTTTCCTCACAGTAGAGTAGAGTATGAAAAATAAAGTTAGTGAACTGTCCGGATCTAAACTGCCTTATCGAATAACATTTATTGACATATTGGACCACGCGAGTAAAAACCAATGATAATTGATGCAATGACCAATGATTATTTAGTCGAGTATTTAGTCGCTAAATACGTTGGATATTAAAAGACTCCATTCGTCTTGAAACCTGCTCGTGGCTATAAATGCACAGCTTCTGCACGTAGCAAATAAATTCTCTAGCTGAGAGTAAATCCCTGCTTTTTTGACTCAACCCGCACAGATTACGACTGAGGATCCGCAATAGCTACACGAGCTCGATTACCACGTCTGAAGTGCGAAAATTCACGCAGGTTTTTTATAGCTAACATAAATAAATAGCTTTCGTCAAACATAAACCACTTTAATTCAATAAATAGACAAATAAAATGTTCCAGTAATTCATGCATAGAATAATGCATAGAATAATCCAGCCTTATTCAGACTTTTTTTAAAGCCGTTTTAATATTTATTTTATTTTTAATTATTTTATGTTTCTATATATTTAATGTATTAAATTTATAAAAGAATTTTTAACTCATTTTATGAGAACATTTTGCCTGATCTTTCTCACGAACACAATTTTTTATTTGTACATATAATTACAAGTATTATATTCATATGGATTTCTCATAATCTTTTAACATACAACAGTAACTGTGTGTGTGAACTTTGGAATTGAAATATGAAGTTTGAAAAAAGGTAGAGTCATAAGAAAATTAAAGCTAGAAAATAACGCGGAGAATCAGATCAATTGTGGAAAATTTTCGAAATTTTATAAAGATTGTTAAAATCAACGGAGAGAGACTTTCGAAAGGGAATAATAAAATGATTTAATTACATAGATTAAAATTGTGATTACCCGTTACTTGAAATATATTTTTAGATGACTGTCAGAAGGCAATCTATTGCTAGAAAATTTTCCACATTCTCACATGTCTGATTGCAATATCTCGAAGAACATAAGTGTAGTTAGAATAAAACAATAATATAAATGTTTTTTTTTTTGCATCGTTTGCAGTGTATTCATTAAATTCAAGATTTTTATGTCGTTACTACAATTCAAGAGGATTCTGAACTATAAGAAGGACCACCATTCTGTAGTGTATTAATAAAAGCCACAAATTTTATAATCGCACGTGTCTGTATTAAAAACTCGATATAAAAATGTAAAAATAATTATTTTACATTACAGTTTTTGAAATTGGTATAATTATATAAAAGATTGAATTATTCTACCATTTTAGATTCTACAAGCGATTACGAAAATATTTAAAACTAAGGATTTATGCAATTATAAAACCTATGACTTTAATTCTCAAGCGTATTACCCAGAATGCTTTGTTCTGATCGGTGTCGGGTGTTGTGTACTGTATAGGTGGCTTTCCGGAACTCACATCCTCCGCGTCGACGAATTCATCGTCGTCCTCTTCGAACGATGATCTCGCTCTCGAGTCCTCCCCTCTCCTCCAAATACTCGATCCCTTACTCGAACTATCGAAAATAACATTTCTGATTCTTTCGTAGTCCTCCTCGCTGGCGTCTTCGAAGCTGGACACTTTCAACGCCTTCGTCTTATCTCTTCGCGATCGTTCCACGGAGGCGACGGCGCTGGTTGTCACGTAAGTTTGTTTATCCTGATCATCCGACTGATCTCTCGAGCTGGATCGAAACCTTTTGTTCTTGAAGGACTTTCTAGCGGAGTTTGCTCGAGAGCACAAATCCTTTCTGCTCTCGGAGAATCCGATGACGCTGCTAACCAGCTCCTCTAAGGCATCATCATCGAACAGTATGTCCTCCAAAACGGTCTGTACTTCTACCGAGACGCTCTTCTTACTCTCCGATCTGGACAACGACGGGCTATTGGTTGGAGATGTGTTCGTCGACATGTCCTTCAACGCGTCGCGCACCGTCTGCACGGATATGTCAGACTTGCGACGTTCTGAATCGCGATTTTTCTTCGACTTCTTCGTGTTCAAATCTTCCGCTGATTTACTGATTTCCGCGTTCTTGGACTTCAATCTCGTAGGCTTTCTCAGGATCGTAGTGGAGGATTTGCCGGATCTCGGTTTCTTCTGGCTGACGAAGGTCTTCTTCTCTGTCTCTTCGGCAGCTGGACGGATAGCCGAGTCGATTTTCGTAAGATCGTTGGAAAGTTTTTTCACTTTTTTGGAAATGTCGGTTTTTTTCGATTTTTTCGATAAATCTGGAGATTTCGAGGCAGACTTTCTCGGTCTTCGCGCGATCCTTCTCTCCTCGTGATCAGACTCGTCGACTGACGAAGCTGACTGCGAGTCCTTGTACCTCTTGATGATCGGAAAGTCATCGAAGGATCTCGTGGTGGGCGCCTCGTTGCCCGAGTCCTTGTCAAAGGACGTGTCCACCTCGCTCGAAGAGGCAGATATTTTTTCTTCTTCGAGGGCAAACGGAATCGGCGTCGGTATCCTGACATACTTCTTCGGCTCCGGCGGAGCCAGCGATCGCGCGACTTGCTGTAAGCTCTCTCTAATTTCCATATTGATTCCCTCCAGGAATTTTTTCGCCTTGTCATAGTCGTCGTTGTCAACATTGTAATGTCGATCGGTTTGGACGATCCACGTTTCATCGTCCTCTCGTATGATATAACTGAAGTCCGGGCTGAGTCTCGAGTCCGGACTGAGTCTCGAGTCCGGTCGAGAGCCACCGAGCAAGTACCTGGTGCTGCACTCCGATAAGGTGCTTCGACCGTCGAAGTTCCTGTCTAACGATCGGAGTTCGCTTCGCACTCTCAGACTGTACTCGTGCAGATTTTCGAGCTTATGCCTAGCGTCGCGAGGTAGCCTCACGTCAATCGAGTGGCTAAAGCTACAGAGCGAATCGTGGATGCTCTGAATGTTATTGCTAGCCGGCTCGTGATAGGAGAGGCACGGTGTTGGTGGATTGATACTGATCACTACGGCGTCAGACGCGTGTCGCAGGCACGCCAGCAGCTCCAGAACGCCGACGCAGCCGACCAACACCGATAGCAATAAACCCATCTTTGAATTAATTATTGAGAATGATCCGAGTTAGCTCATGAATAACCGTTCACATTTGGATTCATATTTGAATGAAGAATTTGTCTTGCAAGCAGAAATTCAAACTTTTTTTTCAAGAAATTGTATCGATTATTGAAATTGCAGTTTTGTTTATATTAATTACTGGTGATATTTGTCTCGTTGCATAATTTAAATGAATGTTCTCGTACTTTCAATCAGCTATAAATAATTATGTTCTGGCAGCGTTTCGAATGATGATCTAATTCTTCACTTTTCATCAAACATGATCGCATCGTCGCTAAAATTAGCTTCACAGACGTCATTAAAATCCAAGAGACTTTTATGCAAGAAACAATTTTTTTAAGTAAAATTTTTAAAACAGATAGTTTCTTTCTGCTGATCGATGAAGATCGTCGTATGCGATTTATTAATTTCTTCCTGTCCTGATGGAAATTGTTGACGAATGACGTCACATAATGAAAGAGAGAGAATGAGTGCCAATTCGCTGGAGATCATATGAGTCGTACACGCCTACCTTTTTCCAAATTCGTACGAAGTCCTACACCGCGCGATCGGGAGAACATGCGAGTCTTCTCTCGAGAGAGAACAGTCGCAGTTTGTAATCTCACAAGAATATTCTGTATTCCGGTTGATGAAAGACAATTTTGGCAGATGCCGTGCGAGCACGAAAACCCAATCGCAAGACACTTGTCTTCAGCTTCGGATACAGCCCAGGATTTCCAAGAGTATTCCTGTGAAGAGTATTCACCGCTCGATATCTATCTCGATGTTCTCCCGAGGGAATATCCAACGAGAACCCCGACGTGAGATAAATTCGAGATCTCGTGAGATTTCTCACAGTCACGTTCAAATAAAGAAAGATACAATTCGTGAGAAATTCCACCTTAGATAACATTCTCGGGGATATTTCTCCGCATCTTTCCAAAGATTCATCGGTATTCTATTCTGGCGTTCCTTCCTGAAAGCATCGTCCGGATCGGGGGGCCTCCGACCTTTCGCGCGAGGCAACCTCGTGGCCTCTCAGCGGCATGAGCACCGGTGTCTGTCGTAAGCACGGTAGTAATTCTTGGTGTCAATGACGTCACCGGGAAGACATACGACGATTACGCGATCTTGAGAGGGGGGCCGGACCACCCACGCGTCACTCTGGTGCCACCACTGAGAACGTAAGCGTTCTCCACTCATCGATGAAGGGGCATTGTGACGTCTGCGTTCCCCCTTTTCCTCCCCCTTTCCTTTCTTTCTCTCCCTTTCGGCGCTTTCGGTATCGAAACCGAAATGAGCGGCTATCCGAACGCGAGGATCATGTCCGATCACGCGATTATCGGCTTATCCATGCGGCCGGATGGCGGCCGGAGCACTGTTTTATTTTCCGCGGGCAAAAGCGGCTGACCAGGCTGGTGGCCGTCGGCTCGTTATGTCCCGATGCGTCGACGTCGACGTCGACGTCGCGAGACGACGGTTACGATGCGCGGGGCCCCGGCTAAAGGCTAAAGTTAGCCCGAATGTCCCTGAACGCGAGTCCCTGTCCTTAATGCACGATGCGATGAACGGCGCGATCGATCGGCTGCGGACGATAATTAGCAATGCCGATCCGCAGAGGTAGAGCAGTAGCAGCAGCAGCAGCAGCACTCACCGCCGCATACCGCGCCGCTTGCCAAAACTGTCGGCCATCGATTGTGCCGGTTCAATAATCGCAGTTTGTTCGCGAGAGAAAAGCAAACTCGCCGATGTTTTAGTGCGAGCGCATCGAATGCGACTCTCGTTCGTTAGAACGACCTGAATATTTCAACCACGTGATGACGCCGGTAATCTCATGTGGCTGCCAGAAGCGTAGATCTGAGAGGTAAACAAAATTTTTCAGTTTTGATGTACGTGGTACGTTAATTTGGCGCTTAGCCACTGATAATTAACTGATTCATATCTGATTGCTTGATAGCCATTTTCGCTCCAAGTCAAGGTTAACTTTAATCTCTCCGATGCTGTGCCTTTCTCTATCATGAAATAAGATTAAGATAAAAATTCCATTATGTTATTGCAACATTAATGGAACATGAGATATAAGGAAAATTAACTCTACAATAATTCTGCAATGAGTTATAAACTTTATGACATGATAATCGTCTGTTATCGTTTTATATTGTCGATGATAATTATATCACTAAAGCCTTCCGTGTTTTTATTAATTGCAAGATTTTTCTTCCATTTTCTTTCAACGCGTACAGATTAGAACGAATAAAATACATCTGGAGGCAAAGTGCAGTTGATTCAGTTCAAACAATTCTAAATTTATCGGAGGAAAATGTGGATTTCTGTACTCGGGTAACAGTACTCGGAAACCGAATTCCGTGCGACTATTAACAGGGTCAAGAATAGTTCGGCTGCAATTCTAAACTGGCTCTGCGTTCGATTCGCCGGATACGTTCGCTGTGAAACACGCGCGATGATTCTCGCGCACGGCGTTTAAAGTTTAAAGGCTGCACATCTCATGCCGCGCGCGGTGTTTACGCGCGCGCGGTCGGCCGCGTTCGGCCGAGAGAACAGAGTGAGCTTCTGGCGTCACCCGATAGATTTTATTTCGGTTACTTCATCGGTTTGTACGGATCAACGTCAGGATTCACGAACCCCGATACCGCGCGTTTTGCGCGCGGTACATCGCTCTGGCGCGCCTCCAACGAGAAGATATCGGAGCGGCGGCCCCCGGATCGAGCCCCTTATCGAACCCCCGATGATCCATATTCGCACGTCGCGATAGCGTCCGCGAACGACTCGAACGCGACGGAATCCGGGAAAGTCGGATTTCGCGGAAGCGACGAGCGCCTCCCCCGGCCGCGGTCGCCCGATTTATCGCGTCCGAGTCACGACGCAAGTGGACAAACAAGATAGCAATGTGACAAAAATGTAGATACAACGAGAACGCGTGCTAAACGGTCAACACGCGTTGTCTCATCGACGAGTTACATTCGTGCGATTATCAGAAATGTTTTACTCACAGAGCAGACATAGCAGATGCAACGCAGGGACTTTTTAAGATTCTATATACAAAGATGTTTGAGATTCAACAAAAAGCAAATTCTTGATTCTTTAGTAATAGAATACAAATAAATTAACACATTCGTTAAGAATTATTATGAATATAATATCTATGTTTAAATAAATCTTTCAAATAATAGCAAAATTTTTAAAAATATTAAGAAAATATAGTTAATCTAAGATCCATTTAAATATCTATTTAATAAAATGTAACACAAAAATATTAAATGGTTCTGATACATCGTAATGACGATTTATTGCGTGCCGGAGATTTAATTATATCATTAATTGTATCAGCGTAAATTACGAGGAATAAGATCCATTTGTATAAGAAATTTTGCGCAATCGATTTAGATTGCTGCATGCAGTCGGGCGTTTCCGAGTAAAGACCCGTTAATATAATTAAAATCGAGCATTGTCTTTGAGTGATATGCATTTGTACTTGAGCCGCAAGGTTTAATCTTAATCTTACAATTAATCTTAATCTCGTCCGCTTTGTTTGATTAACAATGAATAAATTTTTCAACGTTAAGTGCCAAGTGTCTTACGCAGGATATGACTCAATCATTTCTTGGTGCCATTTTACACGATATGTGTTATCTATAAATGCTGTCGAGAGTCTTTAAGATACCACATGTTGAAGACCATTTTCTTTTAAACCTCTTTTCTTTTAAACTTCTGTTAAGATAAGTACTGAGATAATAAATATCCGACACATTTTGACATTTTTCCCAATGTTCGTTCTTTCTGGATAAACTTAAAAAATTGCAGATGAATTTCCGAAAAAACGTTTACTACTGTTAATTAGATTTATGAAAAATCTCGCAATAAGAAGAAAAGATAAAGGATTATAAAATCATTTGATAGAAAAACAATGTTCTTACACCAATATATTCAATAATAGCTATATGATAATTTGTTTAAGTTATTTTAATTAATTTTTCAGTTCGGAATATTTAAGAACACTTACGACACTTTCAATATAATGTTCTTATTCGTATTTTACTGGGCGTTTTTTTTTCCGGAGGCGCGATACGCTCTATTAAAATTCATAAAGACATGCAATGGAATCGGAGAATGAAGAATCGCGAGACACGCGAGTGGGTGATGGAGCATCGGCTGCGCAATCCACCGGTCCGGACCACTTCCCCGACTGCCGCCGAAAATAAACGTGTACGTCGACAGCGTATCGGGATGCAAACCAAAATAAATCGGCGCTGCGTCTTGCGACGTCTCGCTCCGCGAATTCACTCGTCAGATTATCCGACGCGTCGAGTGTCCACTGGCACGCAATCGCGATTAATCCAAAAAGTGTTGCTCGCCAGATCCATAATGGCGAGAGAACATATACATCGCTTTAACTCATTAACCTCTATGCGATAAAAGATCATTTTCTTACGCAGCGTATGTAAATTATATGTATTCGTAATTAAATTTATGTACATTTTTATTTTAAATCTTTCTCTCTTAAATATGTATATCGAAACGTTTTTTTCTTGATTCGACCACATGCGAATAATTAAGAAGCTTTAAAATGTTTTTCGGTAGTTTTGAAATTAACTTTCGGATTAGCACGTTATTTTATCATCCCTGCTAATCACATATGACACTTTTAACACGTTGCTTTATTATTAATAAATGGACTAGCGATTTCGTGAATTGTCGCTGAACCGAATTTCTATCTTTAGCATCTTGACAATCTATTTAAAAAAATTATATTGATGTAATAAGTTTTCCACGAATCACTAATAAGATATTCAACAGAAATATGTGAGGAAAAGGCGACAGCACGTGTAAAGAATAAATAAGAAAAAGCAGGTGTCAACATAATATCAATTTGACGTTATAAATAGCGTCATGGTACCGAACGGTAAGTCGTTAAAGCATTGAGCATACAATCGGACTACACCTTGTCGAAAAGCAAATTGGACTCGCTGTGAGTGGAGGACCTTGACTCTGCCCGTAAAAGCCAAGAACGTACTCGGAGCGGGTCTTCCCCACGTGTGTGCGCGCCGTTCGCAGGTAATGGCTAATCGATGAACCGTAAAAAAAAGCAACGTCCAAACACTCTTGAGAGAAAGAGAGAGAGAGAGATCGATCGGCGTGTAATCCAGATGTAGAAGAAAACGCGTGCTCGCGACATCGTATCCTATCAGCGGCAGCGACGGCGGTTGCGGTGGCGGCGGGCGGTGCGGTGGAGGTCGAAATTAGTCGACCTCCTTGCCCGCACCCGAGAGAGCCGGTTCTCCTGGAGGGAAACGGAACAATGCCAATGCTATTTCGGTCGATGATCGAACGGCGGCGGTGGCCACGGTCGAAGAAAAGCGTGCCACCGGATCTGAAAAGCCCCGCAACTCGTTCGCCGCGAGCCGACCGAATTAGATTAAAGTGGCGGAACTGAAGTCTAGTCGCCGCTGACGGGATTATTCCCTCAGGACCGCGCGAGTCCCTCGTCTCTTCGGTTTGACATCAGGTATACACCTACATCAAATCGACCGTGATCTCGTTTCGCGACTCACAGAGCCCGTTAATATACGCTCTTCTCTTTCTCTCTCACTATCTCTATCTCGTTCTCTTTGCTCTCCGTCGTTTCTTTTATCTTAACTTTAATGTAACGTTGGTGGCGCGTGACCCAAATTGCGTCGTATTGCTGCGAACTCGTTTTTGTCGCGAAGTATTTATTATTGGACCGTACAATCTGTTACGCTATCAGATATTACAATTTTTTTGCAAAGCAATTTGAAACAGCTTTTGCGCGAAGCAAATATATTTTATTCGCAAGATTCTTTAATGGAATCATTTATAAAGCGAATTAATTATTTGCAGTAAGTACAATTTAGCTAAATTTCGCTAAACCACATGCTAAAACTTTAAGATAATCATTCTCAAATTAGTTGAAAAATTATAATTTGCCGTACTTATAAATATTTTTCAAACTGTTTATTTTTAATCAAAATCGCGGAAGTAATTATAATAGTGACAGACTCGGTCTGGCCGATCAAGATGAAACGTACCTCTGGCAACCAGGAAATGGTCAAGTGCAAAGACCTAGCTAGAATGCCTGGCGTTCGAGAGGCGCGCAACCCCTTGCCATCGCATAGCATTTCTTACCAACAAGAGTGTCACTGACATTCTAATTATTTTTGTTAAATGTCTCATTCATCAGCGGATTGCAAAATTCTATTATGACGTTGAAGCTACAGTTATTTCGGACGTCATTTATATCGTGCTATTCGAACCCTAATAGTTTATTATCTGCTTAAATGTTAATAAATATTGTATGTATAAATAAATACTTTGGTATTTAAAACAAAATTTTAGATATACTGATTAAAGTATAATTTTCTAAAAGAATTGGATTACACTACTATA